ATCAGGCTCCGCCCATTTTTCCTCCCAGATGGTTCTTCCCACTTTTTGTTTTCCTCCCAGTTGGTGTGCTCTCATTATTTGGAGTACGGTAGATGAGAACGAATGGAAAAGCAGGAAAACAACGAATTGAAATGAGCAATACTCATTTGGTGTGCAAAAACTCTAAAAATGCAGGAACGTTCTGAAACGTCGGGTTCTGAAGCGTCAGGTTTCGAAATGTCGAATTCTGAAACGTCCGGGACCCTCAGCTTTATGTTTTCTCACTCTATAATTTCCAGGATCTCTCATTGATTCGTGAAGAGAACACTTTGCTCGTTGAAGACTCTCAAATTCAATCAACATCCGCAGCTGCACCTACAACTCAACTCCCCAATACGCTTCAAGCCGAGGAACAACAGCCGTGGTACGAGAAGATATTCGGTGGCAAAATGACGCGAATCGAAGAGGAGTCGATGAGCGAGGACGATGTTGCTCATTCTCGTCTTCTGGCCCATGATGATGATTATTCTAAATAGATTGCTGCTACCATTCTCCCTAACATTGTTCCTACATCTCTCATATTGCTCTCAAACCTTCCATATAACAGTGATGTAGAAGTCTAAACTCTCCCTCGTTTTATGTTTCAATCTTCTTGTTCTATGCACTTTCTCTCACCCTCAAACAATATCCCGCTATTGTATTCTCTCCGTTTTTTTCTTGTTAAAATGTTCTGCCCCCCATTCCCCAACCAGCCTAATTTTTTTTTTGATAATTGTGATGATGAGTTGTGAACATAGACATCCCCTTATGTACCCATCCCCACCCCGTTTGCCTTCCATTATTTTGATAATGATTGTAAAAAGTTATTTTGTGATCTAAAGGACCCCCTCTCCCCCCATTGCCATGTTTTTCAATCGCCCTTTCTAGTCTATCTTGCTCGTATGCTGATACGAGTACCCAAAAATAAACAAGAAGAGATTTGAAACTGATCACACTTTATTAAGAAAACTAATAATCGACGGACCAAACTTCGCTGTTCCACTTGCAGCGAACAATGTTCCGCCCGTATTTCTTGATCATCTCTTCAGCAATCGTCACATATTCCGAACGGCACTTTTCAGAGTTGAGCCCCTTCTGAGCCTTCCACGCGGCATACTTCTTCATTCCAAGCTCGTTTCCTGCTGGCACAGCTGAAAATTGAATTTTTTAAATCAGTAATATCTCAAAAACCAAAAAAGATAGGAGAATTTTGTCAACTGGAAAAATGTACAAAATGTTAAAAGCTAAATTTTTGCAATTGAAAACTTTTTGATAGCATTTTTAGTTTCTGAGATATAAGCGCTCAAATTTCACGACTTTGAGCACGTATATCTCGAAAGCGAAAAATGCTATTAGGTTGGCGGGAAAGTCTTTGTCACTTTTTCAATAGTTTATTTCTCAAAGAAAAAATAACCGAATAATTAATTATATTGTCCATCATTATCAACAACATGTCTCCAACGTTCCCTCAATTTATGGATTCCATTGCGGTAGAATCCAGCCGGGCGTGAGGCAAAGTATTGTTTGAGTGCCGCTTCGACCGCTCCACGGGAATTGAAGCTTCTTCCTTCGAAGGCACGTGTCATATCGCCAAATAACCAGCTCTCCAAATAATGATAGGATCACACTCGGAAACTCTCCAAAAACCGAAAAAATTGAAATTTTCGAAAACGGCGTCTAAAAGTACGCAAAAAATGTTTGTCGGCAAATATGAGTTTCATTTTTGCTTGCTTTTAGTAATGACATAGTTTTTGAAATTCGCAATTTTTTCTTTTTTTGAGAGATTCCGAGTGTGTACCTATCATTATTTGGAGTACGGTAGATTAGAAGAATTAAGAAACAGAAAAACAACAAATCGAAATAGCAATACTCATTTGGTGTGCAAGAACCACTATGTAAAATACGGAACAGTTCTGAATCGGCGTGGTTTTGAAACGTCCCGGAGCCACCCTAGTTATACAGTACTCTTTTGGTCAAAGACTTGGCTCGATGATCCTTCTTGGAGGTACCAGTCTGATTGCGCTCAACATGGTCTTCATTAGCTCGAAGCATGGCTCCGTATGTGCGAATGTTCTCCTGAAATTTTTTTTTCTTTCATTTGACTGTGAATTTCCACCAACTGGTTTTCCAAAAATCTTTCCACCGGCCATCGAAGCTTCGTAATCAGCCTGATCAATAACAGAGGGAAGTTGTTCCTTTCGATTGTTTCTGTGACTTGGGATGTGAGCTTCGGAAGATCCCGTCGTCGAGGACGATTTCTTCTCTCCAGTAGCCATCTCAATATTGACTACTTGCATCGGCGGATAGACCACTTTCGCGGAAGCCGATTTTCCACGTGGAACCAGCTCATCATTCTGTTCCATCTGGTGATGAAGACGCCTCCGGCCGCTTCCACTGTATCCGCTATCAGACATATCGAGATATCCTCCAACAGACCGGCGACGGTGAACAGTACGAGTTAGGTTGATTTCACTGTGATCTTCCGAGTGAGACTCATCAGGATTCGTGATTTCATCTTCTCGTGCTGGCGAGATCCTACCTTGAAACAGTGCTCGGTTATACTCGAGAAGTGGAAGACCCTATAGAATAAAAAACTTTGTTTGAACTTCGACATTCTTAATCAAATAACCTTCTTCAATTTGTGGATAAACTGGCATCTCGGACCATATGGGCACTGTCCGTAAGTAGAAAACTTATCGCAAAGTTGTGTCTTGTACTTCGGATGCGCTTTTCCACGCGGCTGTGATGGCATTCTCAACTCGTTTTCTCCATGAGCAAATCGACAGGTTTCGCCGTAAGGACATGTGCCTGCTCGCTTGAAAGCATCACATAATGCCGTCTTGAAAGCTTCCTCTTTGCGCTTCTGTCGTTGGATCAATTCACGCTCGTCGTCGGTCATTGTTTCCCATTGAGCGGAATGACGTCGGAAATGAGAGGAAGAAGTAGAACGATGAAGATTGTTGAATGACTGGAAATAAGAAAGTTATACACACTTGTAAGCGGGGCAGCTGATAGCTTGTCTCTAGGACGAGATATTCAGTTTTGGTACCAGAGCTACCATTTGGCACGAAAACCTTCTGAATATTTCGTTTTAGAGACAAGTTAGCAGCCGGGCCAGCCCTCTTTCAAGTATGAAACCTACATCATCCGGCGCCGAAACCGACGTTGACTTGTTGTTTGAGCGACGGTAAGGAAGGTTACCAGCTTCGATTGGCTCTTCCAACGATAGCTTATCCATTTCTGGAATCGCAGCGGTCAGCGAGGGAAGTATATTAGGGTGAGACAAATGATGCATTGCTGGAAGCATCGCAGTCTGCGGAAACAGCAGAGGATGCATTTGCGAGGAGTAAGCTGAAACAAAAAACCAGAAATTGGTAACAAATTTCCTGAAGCAAAACCTTGTGGATACATGTTTTTGTGAGGTGGATAACCGAGGAGAGCATTTTGAGCAAACGCTAGAAGATTCGGATCACATGGTGCGCCCAAGAAGTACTGTCCGGTATGTTTCTGATGTTGATGATGCTCTCCGTTCGAAGATTGCATCTTTCGCTCCTCCTGAAATGTGAGAGTTTCGCAAAAAAAAAAACGACGAACGGCCAAGAAATTCGACACAAAAATGACAAGAACTAACCGAATTCCCGCTGTTTTTCACTGAAAAATTCTTTTGCGCGCCAGGGGTACGGTAGTCGTTCAAATCGTTGCGAGAGTTCGGAAGCTTCTATCATCATGCGCCTTCAAACATTTTTGTAGTCATTCGAATGTCATTTTTTCCTTCTTTTTCAGATTCCTTTCTCGTGTTTGTTCGTCTTTTGTTTCGAGTTATTGTGCAAAATCTCGAATTTTCTGAACCTCTTTGTTGCTTACATATGTTGTTTCAATACACCAGTTTCTATTGTTCCTATTTTCGGCATAAAATACAAATAAATAAATATTCCCATATAAAATTTTTGGCGATCATCGGTTTTCGAGAAGTTGACATCATTTTTGATCGATGTACTTTATGAAAGCTTCACATTTTATTATATCACATGCGCTCCGAATCGGAGCCTCCGATATAAATGAGGTGTTGTTATGCTTCCCAATGTTTTTATGAAGCATGTGGTCTATCCTTTGCGGATAAGTTCTGTCGAACTTTTTGACTTTTTAATGCTTAAATTGACTTTTTCTCTGTGAATCATCGAATTCCATCAGTTCCTGATTGTCTTGTTCCCTGTATGTCTTTAGACCCTATTTTCTCATTTTTCCTCATCCTTCCATTTTTCTCTTTCAGTGTCTGTTAGAGTCAGTTCTGAGGAACATGATTCATCACATGCGACAGCAACTGCGCTCTACAGGCCGCATTGCGGCTACTGCGTCGCGTGTGTGTCTGGCCATTTCTCGCAGCTGACGGCCCCCTGTCACGTGCACTTTATATGTCGCTCTTTTTACACTTTGAATAGTTTTTTTTCATCTCTTTGTTCCCTGTCAGCCGTCACATCTTCTTCCTCGTCCCAATAATGCCCAACTTTCATTTTTACAGTTAAAAAGACGGGCGCCTCCTGTAACAATGGCCAGTAGACAATCATCTTCACCGTACTCCCCTTCTAGGCCTAACGGTTTGTGTTAATCTTTTGAACGGCTGTTTTAAAAATTTTAATTTTTCTCAGATACAAGGAATTATGATCAGAATATGAATATGAGAAGTACGAACCACAGCCAACAGCCTTATCGTCAGATCAATCCCACTGACTTCGTCGTCACCAATATGTTTTCGGTGAGTGTTTCATAACTATTGCTGATTATTTGTTATTATCCATGTACTCTTCGTCCGGATATGTTTTCTCAGATGTCAATGAATAACGCAGTTAAATTGCTGGTTTTTCCTTATGCAGAGGGCAAGAAAAACTTGCAATTTGGTAAGGCCGATTTCTGGAGGTTTCTAGGCCATGAGAAGCTACGAGATCAGTCTAATTGTAAGCGAGACCCAAGCAGAAAACTCCATTAGCCTTTAATGTTGGAGCTTGGGTCTCGCTTAAACTATTCGTGTAGCTCCTCGAGAAAAAAACATGACCTAGAAAACTCCAGCAAATAATGAAAAACTCAGCAGTTTGCTGAATAGTTTCTCACCATACTTGAAATCCGGGCCTTTCCCAGCCCTTCGCGGGCCTTGCTATTGTTTCTTTCAGAATCAATATTTTTAAACCAACTAAATCAAATATGATAGAGCTCGACGAATACTACAAAATGATACCATTTGGAGAACTTTATCTTGTCTGCGAACAAAGTTACAGGCCATGAAGTGGCTTTTTTCGGACGTCCCGGGCCGGGCCTGCTTTTTTCGCTCTTTTTCGCCTGTAACTTTGTTCGCAAACAAGATGTAGTTCTCCAAATAGTATGATTTTGTAGTACTCGTCGAGTTCTATCATATTTGATTTAGTTGGTCTGAAAATAATGATTCTGAAAGAAACAATGGCAAGGCCCGGATTACAAGTATGCTTCTCACTGAATAACCCGATAATAGTGTAGTTAGTACTATAAAAGCCGAAACTATGAATACTTCTAATATAATATCTTTCAGGACGACGCTCGAACGACTCCAATGAAGGTTGCTTTCTGTAGGTATAATCCACTTCATGTAGTTTCCGTTGACATCAAGAACCAACATGAATCAGAAAACTGCCCGGATAGGACATGGCGTCCAGGAAATTCGATAATCACGTTCAACGATATTGAAAAGATATAAACATAACAATGTAATATTCATATCTGCTTTTCCTCTCATTTTCTGTAACATCCTTTGTATACTTTACGGGTTTTTTCTCTGCGATCCTCCTGCTGTTTCTGTTTTATATTTTGTACTTATTTTTTGTACATCAAGAATCAAAAAAGAAAGTCTAATGATACCATATATTGTTTTTATACTCTTTACACCGGTTTCCCAACCGTGCTTATACCTAATTCGTTATCTCCAATGTTTCTTTATCTATTCATTTTTTTTCATATCAAATTTTTTAGGAACTCCTTCAATTCAAAAATGTCAGGAACTAGAAAGAAGGCTCTTCTCAAAGTTATCATTCTCGGAGATTCTGGAGTCGGAAAGACTTCTCTTATGAATCAATATGTCAACCGGAGATTCAGTAACCAGTACAAGGTAGAAATCGATATATTTATTTCGAAATATGAAATTTTTGCAGGCTACGATCGGAGCCGATTTCTTGACTCGTGATGTCAACATCGACGACCGAACCGTCACTCTTCAGGTAAAAAATTTTACACACAAAACATTTTTTTATCGCAAACCAAAATAAACAAATTGTGTTGTTTGATTAAACAATAATCGAGTGTTTTCAGATTTGGGACACCGCCGGTCAGGAACGTTTCCAATCCCTTGGAGTCGCTTTTTATCGTGGTGCCGATTGCTGCGTCCTCGCATTCGACGTCACCAATGCCGCCTCATTCAAGTCTCTGGATTCGTGGCGCGACGAGTTCCTCATCCAGGCTAGGTAGAGATTTGATTTTCCAGACTATCTCATGATAATCGGCAATTTTCAGCCCTCGTGATCCAGACCACTTTCCATTTGTGTTGTTGGGAAACAAGGTGGATTTGGAGAGCCAGAGAGCGGTTTCTTCGAAGCGTGCTCAATCTTGGTGCCAGACGAAAGGAAACATTCCATACTACGAGGTTTCTGCCAAGGAGGCGTTGAACGTGGAGGCTGCTTTCTTGGCGATCGCTCGTGACGCGTTGGCGAGAGAGTCCCAGGTAAGAATAGACCGTAAGACCTGTATTAGAAGGGCTCCTTCAATAGAAAAGCCCCTCTAATACAAGGGCCCTCCGAGAGGGGCTTGGAAAAATATGGGGAAATTGATAGATTTTCATGAATTTTGGAAGATATATCAGCAGGTTTTTCGATGATGAATTTCGGAAAAATTGAAGGGCCTGATCTTCTAATACGGGTTTTACGGTTTGTTGTCTAAACTAACTCAACCAACTTTTTCAGGAAACCAACGACTTCCCAGAGTTCCCAGACCAGATTCGTCTCAATCCAAACCAGCAAAACCAGCAAAACTCGGGATGCAACTGCTGAATATTGGTCACCGATCTAATGGACTATCTGCACAAAATGTATTTTCATCCTTCATCCATTCATTCAACTTTTCTTCTCTTTCCACACTTCATGTTACATTTCCTTCTTTTCTCCGAATCCCACCCAGATTACGGTAGTTTTTTACCGGTCCGTTGACCTACTTTACGAACAAATTGTTCAATCAATTTAGTCACCTCCCTCGATGCCTTATAGTTATTTTTTTCGCAACAACTCACTTTTTCTCCGTCTGAATTCGATCGAAATTTTTTGATCGAATTCATTTTATTTGCCATTTTCTTTTCGAATTGTCCTGAATTTTCATATTCTTACAACTTGTTCAGTTTCCTCTCATATTGACAATATAAAGCATGTGTAAAAAAGTTCGTTTAGATTAGGTTATTTCAAATTTTTTCGGAGCTCCAAGTCAAACAGCTCCAACTTCGGAAAAAAAAGACGACACAAAATAGCTCTGAAAGCTGGAAATCGATAACAAAATAGGTTTGTTTATTGTGGCTCTCGAAAAAAATATATATAAACAAGCTAGCTGGCCACATGTCTGAAGCATGACAAAGTACAATAACATAAATAGATTGTGAGTGGGAATATATATTTACAAAGTGGGGGGAACCGTTAGATTTCATTCTTCTGGGCGAGGTTGGAGTTGATGACGAAGGATGTAGTCACTGAGACGATCTTCTCGAAGCATATCACGATCGAGGTGTGCACGATAGGTGTGTGGATAGAGTTGGAGGCGAACTTCGTAGAGGAAGTTGTCAAGTGCCTTGTAGCAGTACGCATTCTCTCCCTTGCATTTCCCACATCGTTGATCGAAACAGAGAATGCACTCAAATCTGGAAAATTGAAGGATTATAATTAGGAGCCATTTTTTCTAAAATATTTTGTTTTCATACTCATTGTCCCTTCCTTTTTATTGTCGAATTAAAAAAAGTGACACCTGAGAATTTGAAAACTGTTGCTTTTTTTGATCTACGAAAAAGTGCGGCAAAAACGCAATATTTCAGAATTTCGGCTCGTTCGAGCTACTTTCGCGTCTAACAAGAGAACCATGTTTAGCCTTCATCTCAGAATTTTTTCTAAATTTGCTCATTTGTAGTTTCAAATACGGGCTTTCTTGTGGTGTATTCGGTTTTCTGCACAAATTTCTAGAAGCCGAGAAAAGTCCATCTGAAAATATGCTGTTTTTTTGGTCTCCTCCTTCCCTTCCACTTTCCCCCTTTCCTCTATACATTCTCCACTGTGGAAGAAACGAGCAACAGTGGCCGAGTGGATAGTGGGGATGAATAGTAATCACAAGTTTGGGGTTCGATTCCGTCAATGTCCATTTTCCTTTTTCTTTTTTTTCTTTGATGTTGGAGGAATGCCTTGAACTTTTCGAAAATCAAAACTATGTCTGCTCTATTATTTCAGTAGGAAAAAAGCTCGAAAAAGATGATTTCTGAAAAATTCTTGAAGCACTGCTGAAAAGCCTTATCTACTCAAAATGTCAGTCGAAATTCCTCTATTTGATCATATTGGTTGCGGAACTGTTATAAATCAGTCAAGAAGTATGTAAATCTATGTTTTCACAATATTTGACTACTATTGGGTGATTTTCGAAGGACTACGATTCATTGGAGTTTTGGAAGAAATAACTTATTTCGGAATTCAAAACGGATATAGGCTACAGAATCTTGTGAAAAGACTCATTTTTATCATTTTTATGCGTTTAGAATTCATTTTAGCACATTTAAAAATTTTTCGAAAAATTGAAAATTTCGCAAAAAAATTAAAATTTTCTCGCTCGTTTTCACTTTTTTTTTCAAATTTTCCGATGTATCTGGAAGAAAAATTGACAAAAATCTAGAAAACTCTTGAAAAAACCGAAAAAAAGTGAAAACGAGCGAAAAAATTTTAAAAGTTTGAATTCGCGCGCTTTTACTCACCGGGCGGCCTAGAAAAAACCTCGTCCCTAAGGGCTTTCAGCGTATTTTTCGATGCGTTTTTCTCGATGAAGGAATTTTTTTCGAATTCTTTCTTTATTTTTATGTCAATCTACATGCATTTCTGCACATTTTGATGCAATAAAAAATTTCACCGTACACCACCTTTAAAATCTATCTTTCATTTTTTGTCGGACTTGCTGCTTTGTACTCAAAATGTGTGTTTAGCCGGTTTAACAACTCCTATGGACGAAAAATTGAAAAAATTGGCGAAAAATAAGAACATTTTGCTAAAAACCGGTTTTTCAGTACAAAATTTGAAAAATAAAAATTTTCGCCGCGCGCAACCGCGCTCCGNTGAGAAAAAGGCTTGCAGTTCATATTGGGAGCTGGGGAGAGCGTGGACAATAGTACATTTTCAAATTTTCGTCTAAAAATATTCAATCATTCCCGAGTTACAGCAATTTCCTGCTCCCAAGTGGGCGGCGCAAAGTCGGACTGCCGCACGGAAAAGTGGGCGGAGCTAGCCGGACTGCTGCGCAGAAAATCGGTGAATTAGCAAATTCCTGATGAAATTTCGGTTTCCGAATGCTAGAAGTGATGGAAAAAGTGTCGAAAAGATTAGATTTTCGTGATTCAAAATACTAGAAACGAAGGAAAAAGTAGCCCGATTTTACAGAATTGCAGACGAAATAACTTACGAATCCTCTGTGTGGTCGCATTCACCATTTCTCTTGTGGCCTCTATTCTTTTTCTTTTTAGCTTCATCGTTTGCCTCGGATATCGAAGGTGCGGGAGCAGTGGGAATCATCAGATGACGAAGAGCGACAGGCCACAAGTCATTCTCCTGTTCCAAGGGCTTTACATGACGGAAACTTTTTGTGGTGTTGCTGAATTTAATAAAAATTATGGCCTAAAAATAGCACACTTACGCAATGAACGCTTGAGCGAAAACTGATCCAACTGGTCCGGTGAGCTCTTGTGATACATCGGACATCTTCGAGGCCGTATTCATTAGACAGATACAAAGGATTCGTCCCAAGATCCGATGATCCAGGCTAACACACAGCCCTCTATCAAGCACTCGAATCAATTGTGAGCCTTCCAGTTGGCTAATATCTTTTGTCATCAAAAATCGCTCGCAATTCGTGAGCAGTGGCTCACTATGAAAGTGGGAAAGCATGTCGAGAAGAGGAATGATGCTTTCCACTGAAACAATTTTCATAAATTTACATTCTCCTAGAATTTGACCAACTTGTGATAGGGGCGGGACGAATTCCATATAGCGAAGGACAGAGGGATTCGAGAAACGCGTGAAAGTGCTTCGCGTTGATCGTCGACTTGTAGTTGTGACAGCAGGTGTTCTCGCGAGACGATGCCACTTCTCCGGGAGCCGAAACCCACGCATCCGTACAATTTTCGAGATCTCCAGGTGGCTTATCTGTCAGAGAAAAAGAGAAAATAGGGGTTATAGGCGAATTCATTCTCTCACCTCGCTAAATTTTTGAAAATATGGGCAAACGATGCATAGTTCGGCGAGATCAACATAGAAATTTATCATTTTTGGTTGTGGTTCGTCATCTTCATCAGCTTCGGCGTCTTTTTCGAAACAATGAGTGACAATAGAGATTCGAAATTCGCGACTTGACGATGGCTCATGATAATTTGTGACTTTCTGTTCGGTTTCTTCTGGCTTGCTGACGACTTTTGCACCTTCGCAAACCAAACACGTCTGCCAAGACATCTGAAGAACGCTTATGCTTTGCTTAAAAAAGGTTTCGAAAATTAGTAAAAATCTGGAAAAAACAACGACACTCCGCTATACCGCTTCTGGCCCTCTCGATTTCATACACTCTCTCGTTTTCAAGTAAGCGGTAATTCGAAAATCGTGGAAATTATTCATTTACAAAAACGAACTTTTCATTAATTAGTTCTGACTGGTGTCGATTAACTTTACATAATGCATCAAGAGATTACGCTTCTAATCGTTACACTTCCAATGACAGAGGTTAAGGATAATAAGAAGAGGAAGAAACTGACGAAATTCTTTATTTTTAATGGGAAAGAAGAGGAATTGAAGACTTCGAACCAGTCGTGGTCTCTAGATTCCATTTAGGATTCTGATGGTGGTCCAGAAGGATAAGCTTTCTCTCCAAATTCCAATTTTCAAAGCATGAATCTCTATTGGGGTCTTCTTATGAGTTCTGGGGATGAATCCTAGAAGAAGGGAAATTGAGGGGAAAGGTGGTGCCTAGAGTTTCAAATCCCTTACTATGTCGGTTCATGAACAAATTAATTTTAAAAAAATTCTTTTGAACTTTTTGAATTTTGCTTTTTTATCGATGCACGCGAAAAGCGCCAGCAATCTTCCTTGTGCGCTTTTCGTGAAGGCAAATACTCATTTGCTTGAAGATCATTTGCTAGAGTCTCATTTACTAGAATTGTCTCATTTGCTATTGTCTATTCAATAAAACGTGGGCGCGCCGCAGGTTGCAAAGTGACACGCCCCTTTATGAAAAGCGTGAGAAGAGGGAAAAGGGAACGCGTTCCAAAAAGGGGCGTGTCACTTTGCAACCTGCGGCGCGCCCACGTTTTATTGAATAGACAATAGGAATTTTCAAATTTTCAGAGTCTCATTTGCTAGAGACCGTCTCACTTGCTAGAATTTAGGCTCATTTGCTAGAATTTCGACTTTTTTTGCTAGAAATTCGTCTCGTTTACTAGTATTTTTTCCCGTTTTGGAAATACTTTTTGCATCCATACTCCGGGGGTACATAAAAAGAATGTACTTCGACGGTAGCTCAATTTCAGGGGATTCATAGTCTGAATCTAGGTTGTTGTCTCATCGAACGATATCTCCAGGAGTACATCAAAACGAAAATATATGATTGTCACTGAACCCGAGTAACCGGAAGACTGTGTAATATCTTTTGCTCTGTATGAAAAAAAAATTCCGAAATCGTTGGAAATCTGCTAAAAGCATGATTTTCAAATTTTTTAGTCTTGAATGTATGAAAAATCCATAATTGTGTCAATGGTAATTTGCAAAATGTTTTTTTTTTGAAAAAAATATAACAAATCTCAAAATTTGTATGATTAATTTAGGTTTTTTAAACATTGTCTTTCATGACTACCAATTTTCTTCAATCGCTTTTTTTCTCTCAATTTTACCTCATTTTCTCTCTTTTCCCTTTTTTCTCAATTTTCCGTTTTTTCTCAATTTTTCAAGTTTTCTCAATTTTCATGGAATTGATTTTTTTTCATGCTTTTCTAGTTCATTGAATGAAGGAAACAACCACAATTTAGAGATTTTTCCACAAAAATTCAAAAATCCCAAAATTTGGTCCAAAATAAGTTATTTTCTCTCAAAAATTGTTCAAACGGGCAGTAAAACATTGCAAAAATTATTATAAATAATTTTTTCAGACAATTTCCACAAAACATTGAGAGAAAATTTGAGAGAAAATGAGGAAAAATTGTTCGAATTTTCCGAAAAATTTGTAAAAAATCAGGAATAAAGAATAAGGAAGAAGGAATAAAAATGTGAAAATCCGGAAGAAGGAATAAGGAAGAAAAAACGAAAAAAAACACCCGGAATAAGGAATAAGGAATTCCGCTCAATTCTGGAAACAGTCTAAAAACGTTTAGGATAGTACAACATTGTGAAACCTCTACAAGGGCCAGAAAAAAAACAGGAAAAAAAAAGAAAATCGACATTTTGAAAAAAAAAATTAGTTTAACGGTTAGCATGCTTCGGAACTACAGCTAGATCTTCCAAAATCCCGATTTCACTCATACACTTTTTCTTCAACTTCTCCAGATGATATCGAATCGCTATTTCCAGTTTCTTTACCAATTTCTTTTTTGATTCTTTCAGAAAAAACTCCTCACGTCTTCTGATTGCTGTTGGGGAATCATACATGTCAGCCAGAAGAGTAATACCTTCTACATTAGTATCTGAAAGAGAAATAGTTGAAAAAATACATGATGCGATACATTTCTTTACCATTAATTGCAGATTCTCCGTATAAAACCTCCAAGAAATAATGAAAGTCATCTGGATCGATTCCATTCAAGGAGACTTCTGATTGCTTTGATTCTGAAAAGCTTCCGAGAAGAAGCGCTTTAAAAACGGTAGATTGAGAGGCGAGGAACTAAAAAAAATTGAAAGCGAATCAGACCATTTTCGACATAACCATTTTCGAGACATAAAACTTAATATCTCTGACAACCATAACAACGTCGGAAACATCTTTTTGGGATTCATCAAACATTCGATTTTTCTCTTTCCCCAATCCTGTTGTCTGAATGACGGATACATGAGCTTCTACTGTCAAATTTCCCTCCACAATGTACTCTTTTTCCATTTGCTCCCATTCTAGGAACTCCGGAAATCCATGTAGTATTATTTTTTCGTAACAGTAATCCACCGTTTCAATGACATCATTCCGATTTTTTTGCACAACCTTCAACTTTATTTTCGTTTGGATCGACCATTTATCAGTTGGAACTACAGGTTCACACTGAACGTAGAAACCAAGATGATTATTTCGACGCGCCACATACATGCGACTGTAAATCAAGGTTTTTGGATTTCAAGTCAAGATATATTCTCTGGAAGAACAGAAAGAGTGCAGTACAAAATTCAACATAAAAATTCAAACTTGTTTTTTTCCGTTTGATTTTTCATATATTGCATGTTTATGGATTTCTAACTGTGGAAAGTTGTAACTGGGGTATGGGACTTCAATATGTGACATATATAATTCGAAAGCTGAGACTAATAGTGAAAGGATTGTGCAAATAATCAAACTGATCTCATTAAAACCCTTGTTTTGGCCGTGCCGCCTCATATAACAAAAAGCGACGACTTTCTAATTCTCCGATGTCAGTTTTTCAAGTCGGCAATAGAAAAAGTGTCTAAATTAGTAGACATCTTCGCTCAAAATGACACTCCACTATATCGTTAATCGATTTCATGAGCTCTCTCTACTTCAATTTGAGGCTTCAAATTAACGGAAATTCAAAAACCGTGAAGCTGATTAAAGATACCGTGGAAAATTTTCATTTATTTACAAAAACGCGCTTTTCATTAATTAGTTCTAACTGGTGTCGATTAACATTACATAATGCATCAAGAGATTATGCTTCTAATCGTTACACTTCCATTTTTCGCCAGTCTAACACTTGTCAACTGTCTGAAAGCGCACTGGAAATTTAAGGGAGACGGTAATAAATAGTTGAAAAAAGTGTTTAAAATGAGGTCTAGAACTCAAAGAGGCGCCATCAGAAGTCTATGTCAAAACGGTCTCTATGAAAGAAAGAAAACCACAGAAGAGTGAGAAAAAAGTGAAGAAGACAGATGTTAAGGATAATAAGAAGAGGAAGAAGCTGGCGAAATTTTTTATTTTTAATGGGAAAGAAGAGGATTTGAAAACTCCCAACCAGTCGTTGTCTCTAGATTCCACTCAGGATTCTGATGAAGGTTGTCCAGAAGGATCAGGTTCCTCTCTAAAATTCTAATTTTTCAGAGCACGAATCTCCATTGGGTTCTTCTTATGAGTTCAGTGGGGATGAGAAGCTCAAAGGGATTCAACTTCTTCCATCGCCACGTCCCGGAATGATAAAAGAGTTGAAGGCAGAGGCGAGAAGAATGAGACGTGGGCAGCAAAGTGAACGGGATGATTGTCTTGTTAGTTTTTTTTAAATCGGTAATAAAAGGGCTCCCAAATGTTTGACTTTTAAATTTCTTGTGTTTAGAGCTTCGAAATTAACCTTTACAAGGCTACCGTAAAACCTGTAATAGGAGGGCCCCCACACTGCAAAGTTTGATCTTAATTTTCTTAGCTCCTATCATTGATATCAAAAAACTGTCAACTGATAAAATATTGGTGATAATTTATTTTATAAATAATTCATCAGTTGACAAGTTTTTGATTTCTATCATGGGAATCGAGATAAATTGGGTCAAAGTTTAAAGTTCGTTTTATGAAAAGCTTTGGAACTTTTTTTTAGTATTCTGACGAAGAAGACTCTCTTTTCAATATCGAATCTTTGATGCACGACCCAGCAACTCTCAAGTCTTGTCAATCTGGAGTTCCACTAGAAATTCAAGGTCAGAATATCCCAGATTTTCGATCATTTTCAGGAGTCTGGAGCTCGGCTGTCAGATTTCCAATCATTTCGAAAATTTTGGATCGTGTGAAACAGACCTAGATTGAAAACTTTGAATTAACAGAATATTTTGAAATTTAATAGTTTTTCAGATGTTTGCCGATTTCTGAAAGGCACCTGTTTTTTTCACATTTTTAGTACAAGACAGGAAAAAATGTGTCTTTCAGAAACCGGAAAATAAATGAAAAACTAGAAAATTTCAAAAAATTATGTGAATGCAAATGGTACTTTAGCTTTTATCAAAAATTAAAATTCTGTGAAGATTACTGTAACTCTAGAATCAGTTTCAGATTCTCGAATCCTTCGTGTCAACCAAGATCGCCTCGGCTACAAAAAGAGTCATACCACATATGCTCAATCCTCGATGTCTCCATACTCCCGTCGTCTGTCTCCATCGTCTTCTGACGACTCTGCAACAACTTCTGATCAGATTACTGTCATTCACAATATCTAGAATAAACTATGATAATTTTTACTGGTCCCCCGTTTATCTTCACATCCCGATTACCTCCTGTAAAGAAAATAGAGTTGTTGATCGGAAAAACATTGAAAACAGAGGAATCCTCTCTCTTCTCCTTATTCGGTCACACTCCACAGTAACCAGTTTAGAGGTCCGAACAATAGGGAAATGAGGGGAATGAAGAATAGAAAGAAGAGACTGTTCAGGAAAAGAGAATAGAAGGGAGAGGCTTTTTCTGTATACTTCAAAACATTACATCATCGAGAATCTCAAGTGTGGAACTAGGGGTTCTGGGAATATGGATTCTCGAAATATCTAAATTTCTAGAATCTCGACTACCGTATTTTCTCTGCTAGAAGTCCACCCAAACCGTCAACTTTTAGCTCAATTATCTTTATTCCTGTGAAAGATATAAAAAAATTTGTCAACTGATAAAGTATTGGTGATATTATGGTAAACATTTTGTTAATTGGTCACTTTTTGATATCTTCCACAGAAAATGAGATATAAGGGTTCAAAGTTAGCGGTTCGGGGCTGTTCAGCTGGTGGAGGTGCGGCAACCCAAGGGTGGGCGCCATCATATCACATACTTTTAGCTCAATTATCTTTATTCCTGTGAAAGATATCAAAACTTTGTCAACTGATAAAATATTGATGATATTATGATAAACAATTTATCAGTTGACAAATTTTTCATATTTTTACAGGAATCGAGATAATTTAGTTAAACGTTGACGGTTTGGGTGGGCTTCTATTGAGAAATACGGTAAATTTTATTTTGCAGGACTTCAAACAGAAAAATGAAATTTTCTTAAATTTATTTCTAATGAATCGCAGGTTCTTTTGATTGACTTTATCAACTGCAAAACTCTGGTTGAAATTTTTTTTTGTAGAAATTTTGAAACGGATAAAAATAATATTCATATTTCTGGAAAAATTTTTGATTTTTCTGGAAAAGTTCTTGCTGTTTTTTTTTGAATGTTCTAAATTTGATATTTTAAATATTTTGAATTTTTGAAAAATTTCCTTTTTTCTTGTGAATTTTCCAGATTTTTAATATTATATTGCGAATTTCTGATTTTTTCTGATATGTTTTAGAAATTCAAAAAATTGTAATTCTAGATTTTCTGAGTTTCATGGAAGATTAGGGTATTCTGAAAGCTTCAAATTGTTTTGGATTTTTTGAAATTTTGAAATTTTAAAATTTAAAATTTTCATTTTTTAAGGGTTTCAGCTAGCAAAATACTGCATTTCCTCTAATACAAGCCCACCCATACCGTAAACTTTGAGCTCAATTTCCTCGTTTCCTCTAAACGATATCAAAAAGTAGTCAACTGATAAAATGTTTGTCATAATATCACCAACATTTTATCGATTCACCAATTTTTGATATCTTTCACAGAAATCGAGATATTCGAGCTAAAAGTCGACGGTTTGGGTGCACTTCTAGCTGGAGTTCTTCTCCAACCGTATCTACCATATCTCTTCATTGTTCAATCAGTTTTGTCAATCAGACCATTCTGAAATTATGCTTTCATTCTCATTTTCAGTCATTTATTCAGAAAACAATAGACGACGACAATGGTTGGGACGGGACGATAAAAACGCGTGGAACCGAACCACACCGGTCCCGACATATAACACGGGCGGTCTTCTTCCACTCCTCCTTTAATGTAAAACATTCAAAACGAATTCATTCTCATTCCTTGTTTTTCACTTCGAAACCCAGTTTAGTTCAATAAAAAGTAGAGGTAGAAAAGCTTCTGTCAGTTAAAAGATTCTGAATTCAGACTCTGAAGTTAAAAATTCTATTGAAGTTAGAAGATATTCTTTCTCTTTTTATCCAGACCTGGGCTCATTAGGAGCCAGAATTTCTAAACTACAGTATATGTTTTGATAGGTACCATATATGGCATGTTCAAATCCATTGTTTTTTGATTACCACCAGCCTGATGCCGCGCCAAACAGCTGGAATTAACCTTTTTCTTTTACTGTTCGTGTGTGTGTGTGTGTGTGTGTGAGAGAGAGAGAGAGAGAGAGAGAGAGAGAGAGAAAGAGACGCAAATTCATTTATTTATTATAAGATATATTACAGGAACCGAAAAAAAATGGCTCAAAGTTGACGACTAGGTGGCACCTGGAAATCATTGCTGAAAGCTTTACCCTCCTTTGAGAACCTCAAGCTTCCAACTTATAAAAAAGTCTATACGAATCCTAAAAGAGTCCGGTTAGAGGAGTATTTCTACTATTTTTCCTGCAGACACCCCAGGAGGAAAATAGACGAAAAACAGTGCGTAGTTCCACTTCACAGAAAAACATCTCCATGATCATCAAACGGGTTTCGATTAGACTGAACACTTCTTTCCATTTTCTCCCCCCCTCATTTTCATCCTCTCATTTTCACCCCCTGTTGTTGTTTTTTTATTTCAGGAGAGGCCAAACTGTCTTATTAGGCATGTCTAGAGTGGAAATAAATTGTAGGTTAGGTAGTATTCAATTTCTGTTACCGTGAAACTTGATTTCCAAGTTTGAGCTCAATTATCTTGGCTCCTATGTCATATATCAAGAATGTGTAAACTGATAAAATGTTGGTGATATTACGATAAACAATTTATCAGTTAACAATATTTTCATATCTTTCACAGAAAATGAGATACAAGGGTTTAAAGTTGATGCTTTGGGGCAGCTCAGCTGTTGGCGGCGCGGCACCTCCAAGGGTGGGCGCCATCGTATACTCACATTCTTTGAGCTTAATTATCTCGGTTCATGGTAAAGATATAAAAAAGGGCAACTAATGAAATATTGGTGATATTATGATAAACAATTTATCAGTCGGCAAATTTTTGATATCTTTGACAGGAACCGGGATAAACTGGTTGATAGTTAAAAGTCAGAGGCCCTTTTATTAAAGGTTTTACGGCATCTGAAAATAGAACGGATGTGTTGGAATGACTGTGAGAATTCCATTTATGAATTTGATTTTGAAATGCCGCCAAAATTTTTACTTGCAGTGCGATCCGAAAATTCGAATACCAACCTGACGATCCGCGTTTGATTCCACCCTAGAAAAACAACTTTTTTCTGCTTTTAAGACTATTTTCAGATTGTTTTAGAGCTGAAATTGAACATTTTTGAGATTTACAAAAAAATTTAAATTGTTAACTTTTTGTTTTTATTTCAGTTAAAGTTGTGATAAAGACGTTTTGTTTTTCAGGTTTCGTGCTTTAGTAAGTTTTTAGAGCTTTCCGGAAATTTTATTTCCCAACTTTTAGGGCATGGAAAAATCTACTGTAAAACATGCAATAGAAGGGCCCCCACATGGTCAACTTTGTGCTAATTTATCTCGGTTTCTGTCGTAGATATAAAACAGTTGTCAACTGATAAAATATTGGTGACACTATGATAAACATTTTGTCAATTAACTAGTTTTTGATATCTCTCACAGAAATCAAGATTATTGAGCTCGAAATTGACAGTGTGTGGGGCCCTTCTATTACAGGTTTTACGGTATCCAAACTTTCGGGGTTGGAAAAAACCTATGTGTTCTGACGATGCCCCGAAAAAACCAATAGCTTCTCTGAATCCTTTCTGACACAACTAGTTTCCTCTACTTATTCCAGATGCCAATAGATTACTGTAGTTAATAAAGAGAATGGCAACATTCTCTCCCCCACATCTTCCTATTATCAGAAATTATCCAGAAATCAGGCTAATCAGTAAATGCGTTTTCCCCCTTCTTCTGTCTCTTCTTCCGATGCGTCTTCTCTTTTCCTTTTCTTGACTTTTACATTTTCGGAAAAACCGGATATCTCCACACTCACACAGATGTCTCCTCTTCGTTTCAAATCCCATCGGTTTCGGTTATCGGTGTGACCGATTCGGTTTTCATGTTTTCCCATTTTCTTCCATTTTTTATTATGCTTACGCTTAATATTGAAGAGCACAAGCAAGAGAAAAAGTGATAAATTTCGCAGATTGGACCAGTCGGAAATCGTAAAAGTTCGTCGTAAAGATAACGGCCAGTTTTGATTAGAGAAATTAATTAGAATCGGAAAACCGGGAGATGGAAATAGACAAATTTTGACTGATTTGCAAAACCATTGACACGGTGAGACTGATAGTTCAAAGAGTTATCAGTTTTGGGTTCTGTTTCAGAAGTTTTTAAAACATTTATCAGTAGAATCGGAGCTGTGGAATAGGAACGCCGGTGACCGTGGCCGAAGGTCCCACAGCGACAACTACCGTAACCTAAAAATATTTTTTTTTCCGTGTTCATTTTCTCGAAGTTTTTGATAGTGATAAAAGTGACGGAAACTGCACGAAATTCGAGAAAATAAATCCAGAAAAAAATTTTCTTCGATTTTCTGCAGAGTGTTTAGACCTTTTTAGGTTTTTCAGCTATTTTCAAAGATTCTCTTGCGATTTTTCCGGTTTTTTGTCTGAAATTTGCTGGAACGTTGTTTTGATTACTGTAGATTACTGTAGAAAGCTAACTTCTTTTTTATTTTTTTTGCAAACACAATCACGTCAAAAGGCAGATGATTTTGCTTGCAAAAAACTACAAACTACAAGATTTTCTACAGTAATCTACAGTAATCTTTCGTCAAGAACACCATCCCCCGTCAAATTTCGGACAAAAAATTTGGAAAAATCGAAAAAGAATCTTCAAAAGTATCTGAAAAACCCTGAAAGGTCTAAAAATTTTGCAAAAAAATCGACGAAAAAATTGATTTTTTTTGTTTTCTGGTTTTATTTTCTCGACTTTCATACAGTATTCAGCGTGGGCTCAATTATCCCGGTTCATATAAAAGATATCAAAAAGTGGTCAACTGATAAATTGTCTGTTATAATCTCACAAACATTTAATGAGTTGACCACTTTTTGATATCTTGCATAGGAAGTGAGATAAATGAGCTCAATCTTGACAGTGTGGGGACCCTTCTATTACAGGTTTTACAGTATTTTTGTGATAATTTTTATAATTTTATGTCCTC